TCGACTTCGGTTGTGGCACCTTCCTCCAGGAGCGGGCCTTCTCGGGGTTTGCCGGTGAGCCCATGGCCTGAGCCCTGCTCTTGGTGCCAGGCACTGCACGGCCCCGTTCCCTCCTGGGCCGCGGGCTGCGGCCTTCAGCCGGCTGCCCTCTGGCACGGGGCGGATGCCGTGCCCCAGGAGCCGGCTGCCGGCCCTGCCGACAGAGGGGGTGGCAAAAGCGGCTCCTGGCCCTGGGGCTCAGCGGGCCCACAAGGGCCTGGGCTGCTCCGCTGGCCTTCTTGGCCTTGCGGAATGGTTCCTTGCTTTTGGGCAGCTGGCTGGGGGACGCGGGGTGGCCTCGGGGAGAAGCTGTGGCCACGGGTGCAGCCCCTGCCTCGGCCAGGGGGCTGGTGCCAGGCTCTGGAAGGCAGCAGCCTGCGCCCAGCCAGCGCCGCCTGTCTCCCCTAGGAACGGACGCGTACAGCCCGCCCGAGTGGATCTGGCTGGGTTACTACCACGGCCACGCGGCCACCATCTGGTCCCTGGGCGTTCTGCTGTACGTCATGGTCTGCGGCAGCCTCCCCTTCCAGGACGACCCTGACATTGTGCTGGGGAAGGTCTTCTTCCAGCGGCAGGTCTCTCCAGGTGGGTGTCCGGCCTCAAGACGGAGGGCTTTGGCAGGTGGCGGCACGCAGCCCGGCGCGGCCCTCACGCAGCTCGACGGGGTCAGCGCGGCACGGGCGGCCGGAGGAGGCGGCCGCGTCCCGCCGTGCCGCTCTTCCACGCGGGGCAGAGCCGGTTGGGAGTCCGGCACGGCCTAGAGCCCAGCCTGGCACGGCCCGGGCCCTGCGGGTGACGGGGGCAGCTGGGCAGGAGACTCTGCCGGTGACCGACGCTTTCTGGCTTCTCTCCCCAGAGCTCCAGCACCTGATCCGATGGTGTTTGGCCAAGCAGCCTGCGGACAGGCCGGAGCTGGAGGAGGTCTCATGCCACCCTTGGGTGCGGGGCCGGCGTTTTTGATGCCTTGCCGGAGCCTCTGCAGCACCCACTTACCAAGTCCTCCTTCCAACACCGCTCCTCGATGACATCCGAGAGGCTGGCCGTGCCGCGCTGTTGAAGATCCCAGACGGCAAAACTCCCTCAGGACAAAAAACCCAACAGGACAGGCCAGAGTGGAGCGCTCCCACAAAGAACTCAAAAGGTGTCTCGACCAACAACACGATGCGGCGCTGGCGATGACTCCGGTCGAGAGACTCTGTAAAGCACTTTATGTGCTGAATTTTTTAAATTGCACCGACCGGGAGCCAGACCCGCCCGTCATCAGACACTTTACTAACAGCACGCGAGCGCTTTTGAAGGAGCGCCCACCGGTCCTTGTCCGTGACCCGGAATCCCGAGCCATCACAGGGCCTTTTCCCCTAATAACCTGGGGGAGAGGGTATGCCTGTGTCTCAACAGCTCATGGACCAAAGTGGATTCCGGGGAAATATGTGAAGCCCTTCTTAGAAGATGCCCCAGCGGCAGAAGCACCAACGCGACAGGACCCACAGACTGCGTCTCCCACAACACCAGACGACGCAGTCGCGTGGAAGAGACGACGAATGAAGAGGACCGGGAGCCGTCCCAACTTGGTGTCCCGAGTCCTCATCACCAGACTTTACTACCCACCTCTGGACTCGACACCCCAAAATAACCCATCCCCTCCAGTTACCTTTCCCTTACCCCCTTACCTTACCCGTTTTCCCTATGCCCCTCTACCCTAAATTTCTATTTAAACTCAAAGGGGGAGCTGGGAGGGGAGGGGAGGGAACCAAATCCTTTGTTATTTACAGTTCCTTTTATTTTAATAGAATGAGGATGGCTGCCCAAGTGACAACTACCCGGGAGAAACACCAGAAATCGCCCCACTGCGCCCAGCTGGCCGTCGCCGTGGCATTCTTTGTACCCCCCCATTGGTTCCTCCCCCGAAACCACTCCTTCCCTCTATCCCAGTTGGCCGTTGCCGTGTCACTCCTGCTTGACTCCGCCCTCATACCCTCACCCGGCTGGATGCTCCGTACCCTGACCCTCCTTCCCTGTAGCTGTTATCAACCCTGCCCCGCCCCTGGTTCGGGGCTCTCAGAGCTGGCTCGCCCTCTGAGTGGCTGTGTCCCTTCACCACCCTCGCCTTCCCTCACCGAAGCCCTCAGAATAAAAGCCTCCTGAGAGACTCTCGCCCGGTGGAAGACTCATCTCTTTACTACCATCAAGCGTTTCCCGAGGTCCCGGACCTGCAGCTATCCGGAGCGGTCTGGGAGACCCGGGAACGCTTCACCACACAGGACTGAGGACCTGAGAAATAAAACAACCAAGCCATTGTGGTGTGTCAAGGCTGGTCCTTGTCAGCAACTTCAGCTAAAGAAACGTCTTGGCTAAAGGGGGAATCAGAGTGCTGCCTTCAGCCTTTCTCAAGCTTTCCATGCCTGTCCTCCAGGGGGGTACTTTAGATCTTCAAGCTCAGGCCCTAGTGCGGCTAGGAGGGGCTTTGCCGAGCCAAGAAATGCAGCAGTGAAACAACAGCTGCCCTTTCAAAGTGGCAGGGCTTCTTGGTGTCTCTTGAAGCAAGGCACAGGTCCATGTGTGCATTCCAAGGCTTATTTGGTTTCAGGGACAGAGACGTTCCTCTCTTACCAGAGCTCTGAGGAGAGCCAGAAGCTACAAAATATCATTTCAGCTTGAGCCCTGCTGAACTCTTTTTTTTTTTTCTTCCTATGAAATGGGAGCCCACGGGAAATGTTGAGATGCCGGAGTCATTCCCACGGTGCTGGTCTCATTTTACCCCCCAAACATATCTTCTGCTGCCTTAAAAACAACCAATGGTAATGGAAAGTGCAGCAACCAGTCACAGGAAAGCACCCAACTGCCTGCCTGTGGGCAGGTGCCATCTACTAAAACCGTGCCACCTTCTGCCTACTGCCCTGACCCCTCCCAAAACAGGGTTTGGGAAATAAATGTGGGGGTTTCTTTTCAGAAATGTGCCTGCTCTTTCAGTTTTCTTCCCTTTTATGCGGGCTGCTGGTGCTCATGTGCCCTGAATGGCTCTCCCAGTGTGTACCTGAAGACCTGACTTGAGCCGTGATCCTTCCAGCCAGGACCCCACTGTGACGGGATGGCGAGAGCTCTGTGTGTCAGCCATCGTCTGCAGCCTGAGCTGGGAGTGGTAATTATCCCTTTTCCTGTGACCTGTGAGTGGTGATTGCCGATTGTCCAAGGGCCATGGCACATTTCCTCCCCAGGAGCTGGAGGTCCCTGTGTCTCCACAGCCCCGATGGGGATGTTGGTGACCACAGGCCCAGAGCCATTGAGTCCTCTGTACAAGGACTAATTGCAAGCGGTAACGTGAAATTTTTATTAAGAGTCATTTACTCCTTTAGCTGTGTTATCTTTAGAATAATCTTGTGCTATTTTTTTGTGTTATTATATTGTGTTCTTGCCTGATTGTGTTGTTGTTACCCAGATACTACATTTCCAAAGGTGCGGTAGTGGATCAGCTGGGTGGGGATTTGAATTCTACGCCCCTGCACTGGGCCATCAGGTAGTGCTGCTTGCAAGCCCTAACTGCTAATCTGTGGGTATTTCCAGCTGTGGTAGCATTTTCTGAGATCCAGAGAACAAAGCACTGCTTGTCTGGAGAAAACATGACCTGAAATAACACTTCTGGGAAGACTTCTCTGAGTGGGAAGTCTCCCGTTGGAAGATGAGTGCTTTCTTCTGGACTGTCAGTCTTTTGCCAGAGTCAGAGGCTTGGATGACTGCGCACAGGAGAAGTTACCGTAGAATAACCACCGTAGCCTAAATTAATGCTTCGCCCTAGGCTCATTTATTAGGGTGTATGTATTTAATATAATTTACTGAATAATGCCATGAGAATCTGAAAGACAACTGGTTTTTTTGGGGTCTCTATGAGAACTATAAGGGCAACGCTTTCATTAAAATATCCCTTTTTCAAATCATCTCTATAGTTTCATTTCACACATTGTTATAGACAAGGACCGTCCCAGGGGAAGGCAGCATCCGATGGAGATGTTCAGGGATATACAGATGCCAAAAGGGGCTCTAGGACGCATAGACATACTCTGGCGAGCTCAGCCTCCAGCAGTGGGGCAGGAAAAAAAGGACAAAAAAAGCTAAAGAAAGAAAAAGGGAAAAAAGAGAATTAAAAACAAACAAAGGAAAAAAAGATAAGAAAGACTGAGAAGAAGACCTGGAGAAGGAGGAGAAGAAAACCAGGAAGCTGAATACAAACAAGAAGGAGGAAGAAGCTGGGGAGAAATGAGCCAGAGGATCAAAGCCCAGGATTGAGCAGTAATGCCCAACAAAAGTGCTCAGCACCCTCTGCCTCATGCCCCATCAATCCCACCAGTGATCAGCCTCTCCTGACCAGCTTCCTCAGCTGTCAGACTCAGCAGGACACGCTGTGCTCTGGAACATCCCTCTGCGCAGTCCGGCTTGGCTGTCTGGACATGCTCCCTCCAGGCTCTCTGTCACCTCCTCGCGGGCAGAGCGTGGGACATGGAGTGGCTTCTGGGACCCTGCAGAGTCCTTGAGGTGGACAAGCTGTGCTTAGCAACAACCAAACTCTCCACCTGTGATCCACAGCATTCCCATCCAGCATCCAAACCCAGCACTGTGCCAGTTTCTGGGAAGAAAGGAATCCCAGTCAAACCCAGAAGAGTGGGAACACACAGACCGTTCTCTGGGAAAATCTTGATTTATTTAACACCAATATTCCTAAGAAGATCTGACCTCCTTCCTTGAACAAATTCCTGGAAGGCGGAGGCCATCTCCATGGAGCTCCCTTGATAGAAGGAACTTCCTTGGTTTCACAATGGATCACCTCTGCTGCCAAGCATGGGGTGTTCCCCACTGGAACAGTCACAGCTCTGTGGAAGCCATGGGCTGACAACTGGTGGCACCAAGACACTGCTGGGGCCTATGCCTCTAGGAACATCTTGAAGAGGGCTGGGCTCCCCTTTGTACTTCCAGGCATTTCCTGGACAGCTGCATCTTCGGGGATGAGCAGGTCCTGCTGATACGCACAGCTCTGAGGGAGCAGGCACACCTTTCCAAAGGGCTTCCTCCCTCTGCAGTCCGGCAGCTCTCCCTGAGGCACTGGGAGGGATTGAGGCCCTTGCCAGATATATGCCAAGTCTCAAGATCTTCCACTTTCTGCTCCTGCACTGCTGATGGCAGACAATTCTCTGGAGGTGGGAACATTTGCCTTTGCAGCTGGAGGATCTTCTCTTGCACTGTGCTGAGCATCTTCCTCTCTGGCACCGCCACAGCATCCTGGGAAACATGGACTGGGAACTGACAGCTCCAGGACACTTGATGCTGGGACACTTGCCTCTGGGAAAATCTTCTGGAAGGGAGCTGGATTCCCTTTTTTAATTCTGGGCATTTCCTGGCCATCTGCATCCTCAAGGAGGAGCATGTTCGCTGACACCAGCAGCTCTGAGGGAGCTGGCACACCTGTCCAAAGGCTTTGCTCCCTCTGTGCTCCAGCACCTCTCACCGAGGTTCTGGCTAGGTCGAAGTCTCCTGCCAGGAATAGCTGAAGTTTGGAAATGTCCTAGGTTGACTGTATGATGCCTTTATCCCCATTCGTCTGCCCTGTTTATGTTGAATAATAAGTTTTGCACCTTTAAGGCTTGTTCCAGGAGTGAAGTGGAGGGGGGGAAGAAGCGCGGAGTTTGTTTTCAAGAACTGCACTCCCTCCTCCACATTCCTGCTCCTGGACTGTGTTGTCTGCGGACAGACAGACAGCGAGATAGAGCTCTCCTTTGCTTTTCCTAGTTAGTTTTTAGCTAGCTGAGGCAAAGAAGTTCCCTGGATTGAAGTTTTTTTCCCTTTCTTTGAACCTGCTCTTGACTAAACACCAGAAGAGCAGCAGCAGCTCTCACCTGTGGCCCAGCAGGCCAGGCCTGGGCTGTGGCATTTCTAGCGCCGGAGGGACTGAGCAGAGACTGAGTGAGCCCTGCTGCAACTCGGGAGATTGTTCTGAGTTTGTCTCTCTCTTGGAGTGGTGAGAAGATTTATTGTTTAATATTGTTTAATTTTGCTTGTTTAATAAACAGGTTTTTTCTACTTTTATGAAAGAGGTATTCTTCCCGAACTGGTTGGGGGGAGGGGCCAATTGAGTCTGCTTTCCTAAAGGAACCCTTTTGGGGGTTCTTTCCCCAAATTTGCCCTGAAGCAGGACAACACTACAATCCTGGGATGTATTTTTTTTTTCTTTAGGTAGATCTAAAGCAAGCTGGAAGTTGTTCAGCCTCTTGTGCCCTCTTCAAGTGAGCATTTGTAACTTTTCTTCCTACAATAATCCAACCAAACTACTTGGTTACTCCTTGTCCTAGATTGCAAGGCAATGTGTGTATTCTCTTTGCCACCTGTTGGAGGTGTGGGAGTCATCTTCTGTTAATTGGCAAGTTTTCTTTATCTCTTCCACAAACCAATCCTCCCTCTGGGGAGACATCTGCTGTTAATGGGCCATGGAGTGTCCCTGCATGGCTGATAAAATGATATCATCCCACTGGGAGATGCTCTGCCCAGGGGGAGGAGCCAAGCATTCCTACCTGGATATAATCTGAGATTCTGGGACACCAGGGCAGCCTTTTTCCCACTGGATTCCCAAAGGTGCAGCTTTCTTGGCCACTGGATTCCCAGAGGAAGACCAGGCCCATCTACACCACTACTGGGCCTTCAGAAGAAAACTTCACCCTTCTACAGGATCCCTGCTCCAACAGAACCGCAGCTGGCACTGCAGGAGCACTGCAGCCACCATTTAATGGGACTGCTGCCACCACCCTGACCCACAGGGTGTCAGGTCGTATTCTGACTCTGTCATTTGTTTTTGTTGAGCTTTGTTATATTACATTTCTATTTTTTAGTTTTCCTAGTAAAGAACTGTTATTCCTATTCCCATATCTTTGCCTGAGAGCCTTTTAATTTCAAAATTATAATAATTTGGAGGGAGGGGGTTTACATTTTCCATTTCAGGGGAGGCTTCTGCCTTCTTTAGCAGACCCCTGTCTTTTCAAACCAAGACACTGCTCCAAGTAGTTTTTGCTGGAAGATTTTGCTGTGCTTCCCTGTTATTTAACCCAATTTAAATTTAACCCAAATTAAATAAGTACTATTTTGCAGATATTGAAACTTCTATATTTGAAGTTCCCAACATACTACAGAGATTGGATAGGTGATTTTCAAACTCTAAAGATGATATTGACCACAGAATAGCAATAAATAGGAAATATCAGACAAAAGTTTATCTAATACACAACCTCAAAAAGCCTCAATTTTTTTTTTCTTTTCTATTCTGGAAGAAACTAATTTACCAGCAATGCCATGCATCCAACAAAGTGACCGAGGCATGAAGATAAGCAAGCTGATGATCCTTCAGATTCCAGTTTTCAAGGGTGACTCCAGTGGGACACTGCTTGGAGCACTGCTCACACAGTGCTTATGTTAGGATGAAGTTTACAGAACAGATGAAAGTGTTTTATTAATTTGCCTTGAAGGGACAATTTCTTCCACAAAACATCCAAGATGTCTCAGGGAACAGAAGGGATCACACTGTGCTGTGCAAGGCTACCATGAGTAAGGGCCCCCTCATTCGGAGGGGGTCCTGAGGGGGGGGGGGGTGTAGGTGTAGGGGGTGGGGAAGGGGAGGAAGGGAGGATAAATAGGAGCGGTATAGAAAAAAATAACTACAAAAGAAAAGAAACTCGGAAGAAAGAGAGACAAAAAGAGACACAGAACCCGGCCGGCCGCAGCTTCCCGCAGCGAGCCGCCCTTTAAATCCCCCACGGCCCCGCCCCGCGCAGGCGCTCTGGGGCCCGGCCCGTAAATGGCGGCGGCTCCGCGCCCGCCCCGCGTTCCGCAGGGGACACTCGGCCCGGGCTGCGGCGGGACCGGCGCTCGGAGCGCCGTGCGGAGATCGGATCGGGGGCTGCTCCCGGCGCTGCGCGGCGTCCGAGGCGCTCAGGTGGGATCGAGATTTGGCTCCAGGTCCCGCCGGTGTCTGCTGTGGGAGCGAGCCGGGCTGAGCCGCTTCTTCCTCGGCGGGCGGGGCGGGGGTGCCAGGGCCGGAGGATCGAGACGGGATCGGGGCTGGGACCGGGCCCGGCATCGCCGCGGGCGGGAAGAACCGCTCCGGGACGGGCACGTTCTTGCTGTGACCGCGGGGCGCCGGGGCTGTGCCGGGACCCCATCGGCACCGCCGCTCCTTCAGCGCCGCCTCCGGAGCCGCCCCCCCCGCCCCGGTAGCCCCGTGGCCACCGCGCTCCCCTGCGAGCAGCAGCGCCCGCCTCCCCCTGCCCCGTGTCCGCCTCCCCCTGCCCCGTGTCCGCCTCCCCCTGCCCCGTGTCCGCCTCCCCCTGCCCCGTGTCCACATCCCCGGGGAACCCCGGCCCTGCTGCCGTGCCCTGCCCGTGGCAGGCAGCGTGCCGAACGCACGACCCGGCACGGGCACCGGACAGCGCTGGCACGGACACGGCTAAAGGGCTGCCCATGGCTCCTCGGCCAGGGGCTACTCCCAACAGGCACGCAGGGATGTTTCAGCCCGGACAGACGCCACCGACAGCCCAGAAGGACCCCAAGGAATGGCTGGCATTACCTGGGAATGGAGGCATGGGCTGTTTGTAGAGGGGCTGTGACAGCAATTCCTGTTTCTGACCTCCCCGAGCTCCCACACAGCTGCCAGGTATGTCCTAAACCATCCCAAATCTCTTTCCTCTTTTCCAGCCCGAGGCCATCATCCACCCAGCAGCATTTCAACCAAGGCAATCTTCCCTCACAGATATTAAATGCCAAGCAGTATGTCTCAGAGATGCTTTAAAATCAGAGGTTGGAGTGGGATGACGTCTGGCAATTTCCAGGGAACCAGCTGGAGGTGCAGAAGTGATGGAAAACTCACAGGTGGGTCCCACTGGAGGTGTGCTGCAGGCAGGGATGTGCATCTCTTTCCTGAGGGAAAAGGATATGCGGAGGCCACTGCTGAGGCTCTGAAAGGAGCTGAGCTTCTGCAGGGAGAGATGTACTGCCTCAGCACAGGCCAGGAGCGCATCCAGCCACTGCCTTGTCCCGCTTTAAAATATCAACTGGAGCCTGAGTTCCAGGGGGTGAAATCAGCTGAATTCCAGGGAACTTTGTCAAATGACCCCAGAGACATCACTGGGGCTGGGGGATGAGGGTTTTTAATAGCAACTTGTATAAAATAGAGACCTGTCCTTGTCCCACTGAGCTTCCCTGCAACCTCTGCTGGTTCCTGACACAGCTGGTGTTAAAGTGGCAGCTCTGCATGGGAATTTCCATTCTCCACGAGGCACTGTCAGGTTATTCCAGCAGGGAATCTGGGGCTGTGGGTATAATTCATCTGAACTAGCAAAGCTGATACTGAACCCCAAATCTGGGCACCACACAGAGAACAATCTTTGTGCTGAAACCCCTGGGCTCGGAAATTTCAGCAGCCAAATATACGGGATGATCTAAATCCCAGCAGCCAGCATCCCCCAGAGGGACAATCCAAGTGCCAGGGTGGGAGCTTGTGTCCTTCCCCTGCTGCTGGTGGGACAAATTCCCCTCGGCAGGGAGCTCAGAGCAGGAGGGGTGGGAATGCAGATGGGAGATGAGGCCGCTGGAATGTTGCCTGAATCAGCTGAACACATTCTTTCCCTGCAGAAGCCAGGGGCCAAAGCAGATCCCTCCTGGCCAGGCTGGTGGGCAGTTGCTGGATCTGCTCTGGGGGAAAACTCCCTGCCCCTGCCAGGAGCACTGGCTCTGCTTTTCCTCCCAGCTCCTGAGCAGTGTCAGGGCCACTGGGAGGGAGTTCAAGCCCAAAAAATCCCCACAGCCCATGGAGTGAATGATCCCAGCAGAGAAACGCAGCACTGAAATAAAAAACTTACAGCTCTGTTAAAAAGGCTATGACAACACTGTAATGGGATTCCCAGGAGCCTTCTGGTTTGCTCTTGGAATGCTCTTGTTCTGTTTTTATGTATTTTTAGTCCATCAATGAGCAGCTTGTAGAATTTATTCTGGGACGTAGAGCTTGAGCAGGGTGGGCTCTGGATTGACCTTCACCTGTGGTACCACTTTGTGCAAACACAACTTGGGCGAGGCTGGGTGAACTCATGACCTCAGCTTTCCCCTCCAAAATGTCCCTCACTTATTTCCCTGCAGATGAACTGGGATTTTGCCCCAGACTGTCACTCCTCACCTTCCCTTGCCCGCACAGTATCCATTCTGTTCCCCACAGGACCTGCCCTGGGGACACCAGGGGGGTCCCTTTGCCTTCTCCCGCCTCTTTCCAGCCCGAGGCTGTCGGAATCTGTGGGTGTTGGTGATTCCGAGATTGTAGAAAGTCTCTGTCTTTCTGCCCCGTTGCCAAAGAAGAAGCCATAATTCGTCTGTGCTGGTTTCAAGGTTGTTTATTTTTGCTTATCTATAACATGTTCTGCTGCCCTACCGCAGGTCTGTCCTGCAGGGCAGCGTGTGGGGCTCTGCCCTCAGTGGGATGGTACAAACATTATATACCAGAAATTACGTGTACTATATTTACAATAATGTGCCAATATCTATCATCTACGTTGAACAGTATGTCCCCAGCCTAAACCAATAGAAAAATGCCAACATTACCAAGAACATGGAGGTAAGGAAGAAGAAGGAGGAAGAACAGGTTCAGGCCCACTTTCCTCCATCTTAGAACTCCTGACCCCCCTGTACAAAGTAAAACCCCCCTGTACAGGTGTTAAAACCCCCCTGTACAATACTAAAAATTTTACCCTCTAATTTGTGACTACTTTTACTATACCATCTAACCCTCTGTGACTGCTTGTTCCACCTTTAAAGTTGGTAATTCATTCCATGGTTCAGACTCAAGATCACAGCTGTTCTCAGCTGCTTGCCAGGGTCTAAAATGCTTCTGACCAAGGCCTGGAACCTCTAAAAATGTCTGAGGGACATTTTGAGTTCCGACACGAGGCTTCTCTGCCCTTATCCCACACAGCAGGGCACAAAAGCGGGGAAAGGCTCCAGAAAACATTTCTGCAATTAATCAACAATTATTTCCAATTCCCCAGTGGGAAGAACGTGAGCTCACAGCCACCGAGGCCTGGCAGGTTCCTGCACTGAGAGCTCAGCGTGTGTCCACAGAGGTAAGTACAGCATCTGAAAGGAAAAAAACACAGGAGAAAAATGTGATTTAATTCGCTTCAAAGTTATTTCAAGTTCTTAAAGCCCAACCACTTTTGATTTTGGTCGGGTGAAACACAAGCAGTGGGCAGAGGTCGTGCCATTGATGCGGACGTGCGTGATGCTTGCTGGGGCAGAAAAAGTAGATTAAGCTCACCTTATGTCAAGCAGTTATTAAAAAAGATTTATAGCTCTTTAAACATAACACCCTTTAATTACCATAATGTTTCTTCCATGATTTTAACTAATTTTCAGTGTATTTTATAAAATTTAAACTAACACCTCCTCCCTAACAGACTCATAAACCATTAGACAAAAAAGTCCTAATGTCAGTCTCATGCTTCCACATCTAATAGGAGACCCTCCCCATAACCAAACAAAAAATCAAAAGTGCCAAAAGTAGTCCTTACTAACATTAAAAATACAACTCAACCGTATCCAGAAAACTCAACTTTATTTCCTCCAAACACCAAATACTCTTCAAGTTCTAAATCAAAAACTCTTAAAAAAACAACAAAAACCATCAAAACATACTTCAAATATAGAAAAGCCTAACCATATAAATAAATATTTGTCAAAGCCCACAAAAAATATAAAACAATCTAATCAATATCCTACATTAAAAAAAAAAAAAAAACACTATACAAATTAGTACCATTTCAAATGTAACATAAATAAAAATCTTTTGGTAAGAAACACATCTCCCAATAAATACAACCACCCTGTAAAGACATAAGGAATAATCATAACTCAACAATGTAAAATTTCTCCAAAAACCAAAATACTTTAAAAACCCTTCAATATTTATAAATAATAACATGCAATATGTTAAGTATTAATAAAATCAAACAAAATTAAATGTCAATACATTTAAATCAGTACATTAAGTTTCTTTTTATCTGTTAAAATTAAGTTTATTATTCCGATCAAAATTCATTCAGTCCAAATTTAAATGTTATTTAATATAACTTATCCTAAATTTTATTAAAAATCATTTATCTAAACTATACAGTATATGGTTAATTTTCTTAAAAAAAAAACCAACTGCAATTAAATCAACTAAAAGAAAACACTAACAAACACCTATTCAGAAGTAAAAAAAATACAGTTTATTATATCATCAATTTCATCAAAAATTCTGTTCTTCATTACAATCTCTACTCTTTTTATCTTTTATAAGTAATACAAAAAAATAGCAATTACTATTAATATCATACTATTTAAAAATTTTTACTCTATTTCCTTAATATATAAATATTTTTTAAAATAAGTTATCCTAACTTCTTCAAATACTTACTACTAATATACTAATTATATAATATATTAATTTTATAAAAAACAATATTTATTAAATATTATTATTATATTTACAACTAACTTTCATATACTTTATTATCTCTTTATATAATTATCTAAAAAACACATATAATTTCTAAATCCTACTTTTTTTATTCTTTACTTATACAGCTCTTAAACCAAGTTAACTCTCTAACTAATCTCTACACTAACTCTATAATTTAACCTAATGTTTTCTCATAATTTTACATATTTTTCAAAATTAAAAAGAAGATATTTCATTAAAAACCTCCTCCAAACTGTTAATCTTATCACTTTCCTCAGTTATCATTACAAAAACAATTCAATATAAAATCCAGCTACAACATTAATTTCTTTTTCTAAGTTTCACACTAAGTAATCAGTCTCTCATACATTTCCTCCACCTTCACACTCTCAATAGCCAAATCCAAACTCACAATCCTGTCCATAACCACTTTCAAATCTTTAAAAGAAAGTTTACTATATTCAAAGCATTTATATTCTAAAAAAATTCTAAAAAATCCCATTATTAAATGTAATTAATCTTTAATCCTAACATTTTTACTCTTAACTACTATTTTTAAAAACATTATATAAAAATATATTAAGTAACATTCACCAATTAAACTTTAAACTGTAACCTAACCATAACTCTACCTAAATAAAAAAATTAACAACAAACCCAGATATTTTCTACATCAAAAATAAAATTCAAATAATTTTAACTTAACCATTTAACTTTATCAATTTAACAAATAAACTTATTTTTAAAATAAACTTAATAAATCATTATCTACACATAATTATCCAACTTTCCACTAATTTAACATTTATCAACTGTTATAAACTCTAAAATAATGTACAATCCTTTAATACTTACTAATTATATAAGTTCACCTATGTTACTAATTATAGATATTATCTAAGTAATTCCTAATTGTTATCAATTTCTTCTTTACTACTACATACATTATTTTACTCTTTATATTTCTTCATACTTATTAAAAAATTATAATAACAACTTATATCATTATCTTGCAAATCTCTATACAATTTTATAAAACAAAACTTAACAATACTTTATTTCTCATATCAAAACATAAAGTTTTCTTATATCTCAACAAGTACAAAAACCCAAGTAAATTTCAATAAGAAAAATAAAACCAGATCACACAAAAAACACACCCACCACTCCACAAATAAAAAACCAATGAAAATACAAAGATAAATTACACTATGTAAATACAAATGTAAATTACACAAGAATTCCAACTTACACCTAACATCTTGTACTACACCCACCAAAATATATAAACTTTAACTTTCTTTATAAATATAAAAATCAATATTATAAAAATCTTATTTAGTAACTTACAAATTATAAAATTCTATCAAATATTATACTTCTACTATATTTACTTTATTTACTTTTAATTATATCACTTTACCAATTAACCAACCTAAAACAAACATTTAAGTAACTTTAGTTTCAAGTTTAAATACTTTGTATTTATTTAGCACTACTCAAAAAAATCCATTCTTTACTTACTTACTTAATATACCAATAAAAACATTACAAATAATCCATATAATTAAAAAGCCCTTACATTATTAACTCTTAATATAAAAATAATTACCAATTTAAAACAGTCATTTATCCATCAATAATAATCAAAATATAAAAGTAATTTTAAGCCTTGAAACTTAAAATAAAAATGGTAGCATCACTTTTTATACCACCACACTAAAACAATTAAATCAATTAAAATATTATCTAAATAAACAATCTAATTCCACACCCCTTACACTAAATAGCTTTTTAACAAATATCAAAAATATTAAACACAGTTTTACAAAAAACCAACAATAAATTTTCTTTTATTAACACACAAATATAAAAAATTTAATAAAATGTATAAATTTATCTTATCACACAAAATCTACTTATAAAAGTGTACAACTTTAAGAAATATCAAAAATAAGAATAACTAATAAAACATAACAATTCAATAAATAAAATTTAACACCATAATTTAAAAATCTTATAACAAAATTATACATTTTAATTATTATAATAACAAAACTACTAATGATAACACCTTATTTATGTTAATATATGCAACAAATGCTTAACAAATCTATTAATAAATTTTTTTTAATACAGAGAGGGGAGACATGGGAATCGGAAAACCAGAAACTCCCACAGACACTGAAAGATTTGATCTGCAGCCTCGGGAGAAGCTGGGATTGATTTACAAATACAAGACACGGACATTAAGCAGGAAAAGAATAAAATAACTTCTGTTTCTGTTGCTGTAAGTAAGAGCATGCCCCGAGTGAGAGAGAGAGAAACTGTGTGGGCACGATGGGGAAGGGTTTGCAGGGCAGGGCTGGGGCTGTGTGGAGTAAACTGAGAGTTTACAAGTTATAACAGAAGCCATTGAACAAAAGTACCCTCAGTGCAGCAGAACTGAGTAAAGGTGATGGGTTAGAAAAGCAAAATGAACCCTGAGGCAGCTGGCCCTGGGGTTAGAAAGTTCTGTCCTGCCTTGGAACAAAGAACTTGTGACTGCTCCTGAGCTACAGCCAGCTGCTTGCTCTTTAAACCCTCACAGCCTCGAGGCTGGTGTTTATCTGAGTAGTGCTGATCCCAGCCCAAGAGCAGTCCCATCCCTTCGTTGCTAACAGCACAGTGATAAAAAAATAAAAAAAGATAACTTTGGCCAGCAGGGCTCTCTCTGTGTCGGGTTAGTAGAAAGAGATCCTCACCTGGTCCAAGAACTGAACCTCTGTGGCTCTTCCTCACAGGGTGACCCGGCTCCAGGGAGGAATCTCCACACAGCCCCCAAGACCTGGGGTGATGCTGCCCTACCAGCAGAAGAACAAGGGGTTAATGAAGCTTTTTGGACACATTCTGTCCTCAGAGTAGTTTGACAAAACATCCGTCAATGCGGATCTTTAATAAAGACAGCTTGCACCTATGCTTGCAACAGATTTTTGTGTGTTATTTCCTCAAAGTCTCTGGTTTAATGCATTTTGATATTAAAAGTGTTTAAACAAGATTTTACATGAGCTCTGCACCCTGCCATGCTCCAAGCCCTAAGGAAGAGCTGGATATCCTCACACTCACGCAAGCTGAGGCAGCTCTCACTTAGGGAGGGAGCTGCTGCAGCATTTAACAACACTTAGAAATCACCCCTGCCCTGAGGGCGTGCAGACCTGGGAGAAAGCCCTTCCCACCACCCTCTTGGATTTCCCTCCCTGCCACTGGCTTTGCTTCCAGCTTGGGAAGCTTTGTCTTGGGGCCATTTCAGCATCACAAAGGTCTTTTCCAACCTCAGGGGTTCCATGGGAGCACAGTGACTGACCCAGCTGCATACACAGGCACGGGGGAAGCTCTAAACACAGATTATCCTGCCATGAGCCAGAGCACTCCAGGGCATCCTTGGAACAGCTGCAGAGAGCAGGAAAAAGACACAGCTGCAGCACTGATCCTGCTCCCTGCTTTCCCAGAGGGGCAGGAACACCTCCTGATCCTGAGAGCTTCCAGGGAAATCCCTGTTAGGGTGGCACTGAAGGTGCCACTTTTCTGGCACTCTTGGCCTAGAACCACAGCCCAGCAGGTTTCTGTGGGAGCGGGGATTGTTGGTGCAGTTCAGAAGCTGCACATCCCTAAGGCATTCCCTTAGGAACATGAAGCTTCTCATGTGCATTTTGTAGTCCAGTTTATAATTTAAGCATATTTCAAGAGAGTTTAAATCAGAATGAGGTGACTTGGTGCCAGCACAGCATTAGATATGGGACATCAGGAGACTCACCAGATGACATTCTCTGCAGAGCCTCCAATCTCAGCACTCCAGCTGCAGTATTCGCATTTCTCACAGACTCCGAGCTCTGTTTCCAGGGCTCCCATCAGGAAACTGGCCGCCACTTCCAGATGCAAATCCCCAGGGCACCACCAACACCGACCCCCGAACCCCCCTTCCTCCATCCTTTACCCCTTTTATAGCCACGGCCCCGCCCAGGACACAAAAGGAGGCTCCCAGGTGCCTCCTGAGACCCAAATCATTCCAGGTGCATCAGGAAATAAATAGAAATAAGCTCATCCCTTTTGGGGTAGGTAATGAATTCTCTTTTTCTCTATTCCCCCTTCTGTCTCCTGTTCCTGTTTCCTAAGGCAAAACACCAGGACCGGGTGGGGGTCAGGGGGAAAATGTCAAGTCCAAAACCAAACCAAACTTGTTTTTCCATCGGTTTCCACCAGGACTATTCAGGTTTTCCCAGTGACCCTCGGCCGTACCACAGGAGCAGCTTCTCCGTGCGACCCCCGGGGGTGGCACAGGGACCCCATCCCGCTGCTCCCCGGGAAACAGAGCTCAGCGCAGCCCACAAAACGTTGTCACCGCAGCTGGGAACGCCGCGCGAGCTTTATTCCATGAAACACGACCCCGGAGAGCCTCAAATTCCGGGACAAACCCGTCCCACACAGCAGCGGAGCATTTATTGACGAGGATGTTTCGGAGGGGATCGCGGCCCTGAGGCGAGCGGCGGCCCCGGCTGCGGCGGGCGGCGGTGCTGCCGCCGTGTGGGCAGAGCGCGGCACTGCAGCCCCGCCGGGGGGCTCGGGACTCGCTCGACCTTCCCAAGATGGCGGCAACAAGGGCGGGAAAATCGAGGAGCCGAGTCCGTCCATGGCAAAGCAAGACAACAGAGCGGTAGGAAGGGAAGGACACGGAGGTGTAAGTAAGGAAAGGCAAGGTTGGGATGGGAAAAGGCAAAACAAGGAATGGTAGACAAAGGTAAGCAAGGCCAAGGACAAAAGCTGTAAGCAAGGCAATGCAGGAGATGGGCATGCAAGGCAATGAAGTACAAGGGCAGTGGTAAGAGACCAAGGCAAGTCTAGGGTTGGCTTTGTCAGGAAAGACAAGGTAATAAAAGCTGATAAGGAAAACACCAGAAAATGATGTCAAAGGAAGAAAAGGGGTGTTCCTCTGAGAAGGTGACATGGCTGACAGGCAGGCTGAGGTGCCTTCAATCAACACGTGCAGCATGGGCAAGGAACAGGAACTGTGCTGCAAGTTATGACCTTGTTGCACGACTGGAATTTGGTGGAATGAATCCCATGACTGGAGTGTCACTACTGATAGCTACAGCCTGTTCAGAAGATACAGGGGAAGGAGAGATGGAGGGATTGCCCTCTACATCAAGAAGTGGATTCCATGTGAGGAGCTGTGTTTGAAGAAGAGCCATGAGCAAGTCAAAAGCCTGTAGGTAAGAATCAGTGACCAAGGCAGCCAAGGAGCCCTGTGGTTAGTATCTACTACAGGCTGCCTGATAAAGGGGATCCTAGTGACAAAGGCTTCTTTCTAAAGCTACAGGAAGCATTGTGCTCATAGGCTTTTGTCCTGCTGGAGGGCTTCAGCCACTGTGCAGTGCAGATCCTTTCTTGACAGATGACTGAAACAGAGTTTCAGTGACCTTTTCAGTCAAGGTGTGTCATATGCAAAGAAATGTTGCTCTTAGCATCACTAGAAATTAATGCCAGCTGTAGATATGACAAGATCACAAATCTCTTGCTCACTGAAAATTTTGAAAGAAAACTGTCTTCAGCAAGATTTACAATCAAATGCAAAGAGCCAAATCTCCTTCCTGATTAATTTTGTAGCCACGATTTCATGCCTTTTGACTCTTAACATGGATAGTTTTAAGCTGTACTTTGTCATCATTTGGTCAGTTCATGAGGTTTTTTTCTTTTTAAAATTGTATTTTCTCAAGGCAGAGAAACTGCAACTATCTACCTTTGAATAGAGAGCACATACAAAGCGTCAGGGTGAAAGATTACTCATATCAGCAAGGAAAAGGCAGGTATTGAAGGAGACTGTTGAAGGAGAGGTAAAATCTTAAATGCTAAAAGTGAAGACAGAGCATCACTAGTCAAATAGTCAAAAGATTTGTCTATTTGCTTTTAAACTGATACAAAGCAAGAAAAAGTAAATTATTATAACTACTTTAAATCTAGTAAAAAAATGTGCTGAGGTGTGTATTAAGACAAAGGTGGAAGTTTACAAGTTAAAAATGCTTAAAACACTTCTTGCTAGGGATAGATAGCATTGCATCAAGCAATTTACTATTCCAGCCATTTTTGAAAGATTTGCATCTCAAAAAGATATGGCATGTGAATCCTTAAATTAGACCAGTAATGACATACACACAAAAAAGAAAAACATTCTCTCTTCTCCTCCCTTTCTTTTCTGCTTTTTTGTCATAGAGTATGTGACTAAGGAGAAATGGAAAGAATCCCTGAGTGACAGAGCTGACTCCAATCAACCCTCCCTAATGCAGTGGTGACCAAAGGCCAATTGTAGGGGACAAAATAGGGCTTTACCCTTTGAAGTGTATTTCATCCTGCTGAGATCAGCACAAATGTAAGGGATGAAACTGACTTCCCATGGCTGCCATCCAAGCTATGAAACTGTAACTCAGTACCACCTGCAAATGTTTTTGCTTGAATCCTCAAAGTAATGTTTCTATCTGCATCCCTTAAAATCCAATTCTGTCAGCTTTTCAATGTTCAAAACTGAACTATTTAAGATAGCACAGAGGAAAAAAAGAACAAAATAAACATATTTTATTGTGTAAGTAAGTAGATTTGAGATGGAATTACTAAAAGGTAAGTATACATGGACCCCCGGACACAGAGTTCTCTTTTTACAGTGGCACTTAAGGATTGTACTTCAAATATGGTTACACAGATATCTTCCCCCCATATATATTGACTGCCTCTTAATATTAGAACCTAATCTGACACAAAATTACATTAAATAAAACAGTGAGAAATATACTTGAGAATGACTGTTGTTTGCAAAGAAGGTAATTTATATATATACAATTACTGATAAGATAGAACAAGAGTTCAAAAACTGGACTGCATTACAAAGCACTTCTTCAAACCAATTTTGGATTATTGCTGTAAGGTACTAACTGGTCTGTTCTCGACTAATTTACAGACATTCATAAAATAGTGAAAAATCCATGCTTTAAAAACCTGGGATATTTCATGCCTTTGTGCTAGCAGAACATGAAAATGGAAGTGATTGGCATTTTTCAATGTCGATTAGTAGCATTTAAAGTTTTTATTCTGGTGTACTAACTGATTCTTCGTATTTTTTTCTCATTTTTTTCAGGCGATTTTTCATCTTCAGGTTTAGTTCATGGAGGGCTGTGAAACTTCTGTAAAGGTAAAAACATGGTGTATAGAATACATATATACATAAACAGAAATAAAAAAGTATGTTAAAATTCCATGGCAATGGAATTGTCCCTAGAAAAGTATCCTGATCTCTATTAAAGAAAGCATAATTAACAACCTTCACAGTGCAAAACCATACAAGTCTGATGCTACATATAGCTTCATATCACTGCATATTTTATTTATATATATATATATATATATAAACAACCATATATTTAATTATTTTGGAAATCTCTCCTTACTCCTGTTTCCAGGGCTATACACATCACACTGTCAAATTAAGTAATTGGACTACTAATTCATTTGACTACCAGCTCTCCAAATATTTAATAGTTTGCAAATTGTTACCAGCTAGAAAACATTTTGAACAGATCAATTGCAATCAGACAGGGTTTTTTTAAAGTTTTAAGTCATCAAGACTCTTTCCAGTGTAACAGTGGGAGGGGTTTAGTCATGTTGAAGCTACTGAAGGTAGCCTCTGAGATGATGTGGTCTCACCAGTGCCAAGTATAGGGGAAGAATAACCTCCCTGCCCCTGCTGGTCACACAATTCCTAATGCAGGCCAGGATGCCATCGGCCTTCCTGGCCACCGAGGCACATTGCTGGCTCATATCCAACCGGCTGTCGACCAGCACCCCCAGGTCCCTTTCTGCCTGGACACTGTCCAGCCATACTGTCCCCAACCTGTAACGCTGTAGGGGATTTTTGTGTCCAAAATGTAGAACTCGGCACTTAGACTTATTAAGTCGAATCACCCTCTCTATAAAGAAATTACCCCTAAAGTCCAGCCTGGTGGAGCCCGGGCTGTGTCCTCTCCTGCCGTCGCTGGTTCCCCGGGAGAAGCGGCCGATGCCCGCCCGCCTCCATCCTCCGTCGGGCAGCACCTCCCACAGGGCTCCGCACCGCTCCCGCCTTCCCGCTCTGCTACAGCGGCCACCACGCGCTGGCTTTCCCGCAGGGAAGTTCAAGCACCTCTGCCCACCCCTCAGCCCCCCAAGGGAAGTACAAGCACCTCTGCCACCCCTCAGCCCCCCAAGGGAAGTACAAGCACCTCTGCCCACCCCTCAGCCCCCCAAGGGAAGTTCAGCGAAGCGTTTCCCCCTCACGGAGGCCGCGCCATGTCCGCTCCCCACGTGACGGGGGCGGTGCTGCGGGCGGGCCGGAGGCAGCGGCGGGGCCGGGCCCGGTTCTCGGCGGTTCTGAGGCTGCTCCGCGGGCCCCGGGCTGGCTGTGGCTGTGCCGGCACCGGGGCTGCTCCTGGCCGGGTGGCGGTGCTGACACCGGGCTCTGGGGAGGGAGCGGAGGGACGGCTCTCCCCGCTGCCCCCGCCCCGGGGCGCCGGCGGCTGAGGGGAGCGCGTCCCGCCCGGCGAGCGGCTGCTCCCGCCTCTGCTCCTCCGGCGCGGGTCCGGCTTCCCTTTTCCTTCCCTTTTCCTTCCCTTTTCCTTCCCTTTTCCTTCCCTTTTCCTTCCCTTTTCCTTCCCTTTTCCTTCCCTTTTCCTTCCCTTTTCCTTCCCTTTTCCTTCCCTTTCCTTCCCTCACTCCGGCCGGACAAGCGGCTTTCCCCCCCGGGGCTTCGTGGAGTTTACCTGGGGAAAGCACGGCCAGGTGAGTGCTGGTAGTGAGGTTTATATTCGGTAGCACTGGAGGTTTGTGTTCCGTAGCTTTCCCAGTGAGGAGCAGCGTGGTTAATGCTTTTAGTTAGCTAAACACCAGCAATTAAAAGCTGCTAATGAGGGTGATGGCCGAAAGCACATGCCTTTTCTTATGAATGGCTCTTTAGTTAGGAAACCACGGCGTTCCCTACGCTTTAGGAAGCTCTCTTTCTCGTTATTCGTGAAATTTGCTTTATGCACTAAAATCGGTGTTTTTAATTATGTGTTACTTGCTGGGTTTAATGTGACTTAACATGACCTAATCAGAGTACATCTCAATTACTCACCAACAAAGTAACTGGCCAAACAGATTTGCTTCTGCGGAGTTTCTATTCCTGTAAGTTGGAGATGGGGAATGGGCTTTGTCCCAGGGAATGTCGCTGTCCCCAGTTAGTGCTGCAGGAGAACTTGGCAGCAGGAGCAGGGCACGGTGCATCCATCACTCAAACCTCAGAATTCCACTGGGTACCAAGTTCCCTGCGGTGGCAAAGGTGAAAGACCAGCTTTTGGTTCCAAGGATTTCAGTAGCAGAAAAGTTTCTGTCTGAGATAACACAGTCATTCTGGTTCAAAAAATCTGTATCTTTCTTGTGCTTTGCAAGAGTATTTATTATTCTGTGATGTGAAAAAATTATGTTTTTTTCAAGTTATGGAATGTTGCCTTTCCATATGTATTTCTTTTGCCTGGGGCTTATTTTGTAAATCTTTAGAATCTAAGTAGAACTCAGATTAAATTCACTGTGAAATGGTGAATTCCCTTTCCTATCAAAGAGTTTAATCCTTTTTTAAAAAAATATTTCTACATTTTCACAGGACAAGATTTGAAGTTGGCTTCTATGCCAGCTGAGCCCTAAGTTGTTTTAGGCCTACTCTGAGCCTGGTACATGGATTAATGTTTCTCTTGCTTCATGAATGTGAAATTAAAGTTCTAAAACACTGCATATGTATAGTAACTCTGAAAAGAGATTCTCTAAGCAATAGAGAATGTTGTAGAGTGTTTGTTGTGTTAAATATGTAGCTGTAAAGAAGGTTGAGTTTTGCCTGAATTCTTTTTGAAATATTAGTAGCCAGACCTACAAATAATAATCCTCCATTCCATTCCATACTTTTTGTGATACGCACTGAACTTTTTTAAGAGTGTATTTAATGCTTTACTGTTGAAAGTGAGCTTCTATCAGTGATGTTTAAAATCTGTCCCTTTTTGCACCTTTGGCATCTCACATTTACATCCTTTGGCTTGTAAGGGCAGCAGCTTTCCTGTTTCCTGCCATTCCTTTGCTGTTGCCTCCTTTCTATCCCCACTGCCTTTTTCCTATATCCTCCTGCAGAAGTTTAGAACTAGTAAAAGACGATGGGATGTGTATCAAGAAAAATGGGCAAGAAGTTGTTTAAATCAAAATACAGCCATTGCATTCACCACTTCTTTTTTCTTCTTTATTACCCTTTGCAGTTACAAAAGCCTTACTCAGATTCTTACAAAACAAAACAAAATTCTTAAAACAGAATGTGACAGAAATTTAACTCATTATTATTGTTACAGTTCTCGTAGATTTTTCAAGTCCTGTTTTTTTTTAAACAGTTGTGCTAAATAGAAGAATTTTAGAAGCTTTTTTTTTTTTTTTTGTCCTTGAAGCATTATATTGTTAAACATATTTCTGACTGCCAGTCCCGTTTATGTAGATAGAGGCCTGTGTTATAGCCATGATTGTCAAACGTTGTGTTTTTCAGATCAGAGGTTATTAAAAATGGCACTTGGACACTGTGAAGCCAGTGAGGTTCTGAGAATTACTGCTGAGCAGGTATGTGAACTGAGAGATGGAAGTAGTAAGAATTTTTTTGATTTTGTTTTGTGGTAAACATCTTTTCAAATATGGAGCACAGCTTACTTCAGTGTTGTCTGGCCCTGGTTTGGGTCCATCATACAACGCAGCAACAGCTGAAAAAACCTGCACTAGCAGTGAATTATGGTATTTTTAGTTAATTTCTGAAAGTTTTATCCCTGAAAGAGCCCTTGGTTTGTAATTCAGCACACTTTTTAACTTTTATAGACTTCCCTTTTCTAAGAGATTGGTCTCCTGTTGAGGTAGCTTTTTGTGCTGGGTACCATAAGCCTGTCTGAAAGCTTGTGCAGAAGCAGGGCTTCACTGCTTTCCTGATGCTGAGATGCATAGAAATGAGCCAAGCACTTCGACAAACCCATGATTGTTCTTTTAAGATTGAGTTGATTTTCCCTCAGATGTAATTATGCTTTAGATCAGAGCATGTCCAGGGAAAAAAAAAATCATTATTTTGTCATATTGAACATAAACCTGGAAGTGATTCTGTGGCATGTTGTGTACAGATTACAGTACAGACAGTTTTGGGTTTCGTATAGAAGTTTAAAACCACATACATTTATGTGCAATTACTAATGAGTAAGTCACCATTCCATTACAGGAACATGCCCTTGGTGGTGATGGCACATCAGGATCCAGGATGATGGACCAAAGGTAACTGATTCCAAGTGTTAAGTGGGAATACTGCAGTCTATTTGAAGGAAATTGCCATGTGCTCACAGGAGTGTAAATATCCAGGTGAACTGGGTCTTGTATACATGTATCTGTAGAAGTGTTACTGTGATAGTTGTTTTTAGGTAGTATTGTGTTTATTCAGTAAATTGAATTATTGACTTTGCTTCCACAAGCTGTAAAATAAACTATGAGAGATGAATGAAGGAATTTCTAGTCAAAGTTTTGAGAGAATAAACAAAAGTTCTGGTAAGATTGCACTGATCTAGGTAACACAGGTAACTGCTGTCTGTTGAGATTGGAGGATGTTTTTTCAAAATGTTTTTTTGACACTCTTCAACTAAGAGTTGTCTATCAGTAAGTGGTTTCATGATCGCTGTAATTTCCTCTTACAAAAATAACCTAGCTTTTCTTGTTAGCTTTTAATATAGAATTTTCAGAGAATTGCTATCAATTATGGAAATATTGGGAGGGAGAAAGTGTAGAACTACAGTGTTCTGCATTGTCTTTTAGGCCCCTTTACTATTGTATGGGAAAGCAACAATGAAGTGTAGTCTTGTAATGTTTGGGATTCTGTGTGAATTGATTAAACATATTAATTTTATATTAATAGTCATTTATTATGTCCCATTATATGTTCTGTTTCTGTTATGTAGGACCCTTGCTGTTAATGATCATTATCTAAAAGTAGTGATTAAATTTGTTTATTTGATTCTGGGGAATGTTGAGCTTGGAACTCAAAAGTGACTGTTCTGTTCTGGCCTCTAGATTAAGAATTCTTTAAAACTAGTTAATTTTCAGAGCATTTCAGCACTTCCAAAACTCACTCTGATCATGTTTTTCAACTTCTTAGCTTGTCAGCTCTAATCACAGAGTACGGAAAACATGTGCAAGAAATGAAAGAACAGCTGCAGCTTTATCAGGTATAGGAATTCCCTACATTTCAGACTGGATCTTCTTGTAGGGGTGTGAATATGTTGGGCACTAGTTTTTGTCGTGCTTCACAAAGCTGCTGGACTGCAGGCTGCCTCAAGGGGATGAATGGAGAGCTTCTGTGAAAAGGTTGGGAGATTGTCCAAATTGCAGCAGTGTAATCCTGGGGGTTGAGGTGGAAGGGATCCATCTTCCTTTCACATGACTGAAAACATAAGTGATATTAAAACTTATGGCATACAGAAAGCAATTTTTGCTTGTGATCTTTCTGATAAGCAGAAGTTACACACTGCTTTTGGTTTAATGCACTTAATTTGTTTGATCTGTGCATCATAAATATTTTGCAAATAGTCTTGCAGCCTGATCAGTTTCAGGAGGCAACAGAACCACTATGGCTTCCTTGCACTAGTAAACAAAACAGCCAGTTTGGTTCATATAACTGGAGCTTCTCCTCATTTAATTCTGAAGCTTTCATCAAATGCTTGCAGCATATGAGTTATCCACTCTACCCCTAAAGCTTGAGTTAATTAAAAATCAATCTGTAAGAGCCATAAGAATTTCAAAAGGTTAAGTTTAATGTCTGTAATAACTTCCAAATGCTGAGGTGTAACAGGACTTGGCAGCCATTAAATTTGAGTGGAATCTGGTGACTTGCCTTAAAAAAGCAATTGACTTTCATTTACTGTATTATGCTGGATTAAATTGTCTAACTTTTACAGTGTCAGACAGAAATACAGGATGACAGTGGTGCCAGAGTTTGTGTAATTTGAGTGTTTACTCTTGAATGTCTTTGTGTCAGGCACAAATGGGTGAGATGAAGCTAAAATTGGAAGACGTCACCAAGGAAAATGAAAGGTAAAAATTGCACTGCCATGTTGCTACTACTGTTTCAAATGATTCTTAAACATTAAAAAGCTTTTTTGACTTAGGACCTTGAAATCTTTGAAATCTTCTACTAAGTAAATTCAGGATCCTAATGTTAGAGTCTTGAAGTGTTTGATACAGATTACAATAGCAGGTATAGGAGATTTTACCATGTCATTAAGAACTAGATGTGAACTGTCCATTTTGTTTATAGATCATAACTTAATAGATTTAAATTTGACTTGGAAGAAAATAGTATGTACAGGGCACTGTATATTTCAGTTGTTAAAATAATCCCTTTTAAAGAAATACCTTGCTGAACTTAGTTCTTTGAATTTCAGGCTGCATGCAGAGTTGAAAGAGTGTCTTGAGAAGCAACTGGAGGCTCTTCCTGCAGATGAAGGCACAGTGAGAACCCTCCAAGAGGAACTACGGCTGGCAAAGCAAGTGTGTGAGATAAACATTTCTATTGTTTTATTTCTCTTGTTGTGCCTTGGTAGACTGGGGGAGGTTGTTTAATTTCTTGATTTAGAAATCATTTGCTCAGAGTTCCTTGAGTCTTTGAGCCCCTCTTGAACTCAAAGATTGAAGGAACTTCTTTCCTAGATTCATAGAATAATTTTTTAATATTAATTTGTGTCAATAATTTTACCTGGTTGACTTGATCTGTATGTCAAATTAATGATCAGCAACTCCATGAAATATTTTGTTCAATCAAGCTTTTTGTTGTAACTTGTCATTTTAATCAAAACTATTGTAATGTGATATGAGGAGGGAAGTATGGGATGTAGAAAATAGTATCTAAATATAAAAATGCAAGCAAATTTTGTTCAGTTTATTACAATATATCAATTGAATTTTGGTACTTGAATAGTATCTATACTGCAGGCCTGTCTTAAAGACCTGTGAAAGTTTGAGCTCTTCAAAAAAAAAAAAAAAAGGCAAAAAACTGGAAGTGGAATTTGAACTTCCAAGCACCTGGTTTTGTGCACTTGAATTTAAATTTTAAAAAAACATACGCAGAGAAAAGTATAGGTAGTGGCTTTTCTTCAAAATAGAAGTTAAGACATGTCTTTTTAGACAATGACAGATGAAGACAAATATGCTGTAATAGAATATTGTTCTGTAAATTAGGAAAAAGACCAAGCAGTTGAGCGCTGGCAGACATTGTCACAGGAGCACGACCGACTTCAGCAGCAGTACCAGGAACGCCTGACTGAAACACACGTTCTCATAGCTGAAAGGAAAAAGCAGAATGTAATTTTCATTTATTGTTGCTCTTTTTTTTTGTTTTCATATACCTATATATATATATGTGTGTATATATATATACATACACAAAATATGCATGTGCATATAAATAATCCTGTGTTTGAGTTGCACGGTCAGTAATCTTCAGGACAGTAAAACATCTGAAAAAGTTGCTTAAGATTTCTGAATTCTGACGTGAAAGTCTGTCTTTATCTCTTCTCCTGCTGTTATTCAGAAGAGAAGTAAACAGGTGAAAAAATCAAATTCATTAGTCTTTGTCTAATGCTAGCTTGCATTTAGCAGCCTGTTTTTCTTCTGCTGAATCTGGGGAAGGCCTTTCAGGAAATTCTTAGAAGAGTTGTTCTGCTCTGATGAGCTATGTAAAGATGCTCAGTGTGTGAAGAACTAATAGAAACTTGATGCATTTATGTACTTTGCTACATGTATTTCTAGGAGAGAACCTACAAATTCTTTTAATATTTTCTCTCTATTTTCAAACACACTTGACTTGTGGGCACAGCTACAGATCACCTCAGAAATATTTTTTTTTACTGATTTTTGGTTTTTTGTGGTATTGAGTTCACCTTGGCGATGTGATCTTTTCTGAGAAAGAGGATAAGTGTCTGTGCAGCTGTTGTACTCTTTCTTAATTATTGCAAGGAATAGTTAAAAAGACCCTGATCTTTGTGTGGTTCCAGCTTTCTGCTCCTGTTTCTAATATTAAATTATTTTATGTGTTGTATTGTCAGTTACTAATAACATATACAGTGGAGTATAGAGAGCCACTGGTAACTGTTGTAGGACTTCCAGATTCCATTTCTTATTAGTAAGTAAATTTTTGGTGCATTTTAATGCCACCATGACAAGAACAAGGCTTCTATTCTTAAATGCTACTTGTCTCCCAGAGAAAACTCCTCTCCAGTTAAATTCTTATTTCAGGTTTAGCTTTCAATGAAGGAGTAGCAAACAGCTGTGAGAAGCAAATAGAAAAAGTCAGATCAAGTAGAATTAGAATTGACAGAAGGCAAGGAGGAGAGGGGACATCATAAGGACTGGATGTAGAAGGTAAGGGAGAGGCAGGAATAGGTTTCTAGCATATTCTTGGCCTTGAGACTGTTAGATAGTACATTTAGAAGATACTTCAATCTTCTCTCTGGTCTGAAGGCACCTGGCATGCTGCATATGGTTTTTCTGAGTTATGCTAGTTTTCCTAGAATGGTAAGAGTTCACATTCAGAGACTCAAGAACTTAACTCAGCATTTTTTTTAGGGACACAAGACGTCCTGTATGGCAAAGAACAAATGAAACTGTCCATAACAGGCATTTTTTAATTAATGGGTTATTATGTCTGTTACTTTGCTTAGCAAAAATGCTTGTAGTATCATGTAGTAGTCTGTGTGTCTCTTTAAAAGCACTGTGTGGTTTAAAAGTACATGCTTTAAAAGCACATGTGTACTTTCATGTTTTCATAGTAAGTGCATGTGAGTTTTGGAAAGAGGCAGTTTGTGGCCCAGGGAAAATTGGATAAATTGTTCACTAGTAAATCTAATTTTATGGGGTATGAGGTCAACACCTAAAAACAATCTAGCTGAAATCTGTGGAGACACACTGAATTTCCTGCTGCATGTATAGTTTTAAAATGTTTTCAGTTGACTATGAAGCTTTCTAATTATTCACTCTTACTGACTATAATTATTATAAGAAGTTCTGAATTCTCTTTTTAGGATCAACGGACCAGCATTCAGCAGCTGACTCGCCAACTGCACATGGTGAGTAAAACCTTCTGAACAGTGAACTAGTAATTTATTTATTTTCCTAACAGACCCTCAAAGTACAAAAACAAAGCAAAAAGACCTTCACACATACCTGATGTCACTCAAATTTGCAAACTTCTCCAGCAACCAGGAAGCAGTGATGGCTTTATTCCTGAACTCCAAACACCAGGTCAATGTGGTTGAGAGGTCAGCTTTTAATTTTATGTGAGCTCTTTTACACTTAAGGGATAAGCTTACACTCAGAATTGCAGTATGTGGCTAGTGTACTTCTCACATGTCTTCACAAAGGAAACTTTTTTTTTTTAATTATGCCCTCTTGCATAAGCTAGCTCTGGCATATTTTTATCCATTCCTGTTTTGGTACTGCTGTCTTGAATGTCTTTGTCACCTTTATGCACATTTTGCTGAGCTCTAATAACCTTCCAGTACTTTATCTACATCCTTAGACTGGGATACTTCTTAATTTATAAACTTTAGCCTAGGCCTTCCAAAATTGACAAGCAGTTTTAGTAGAAAGTGTCAAGTAGTTTTTGTTGGAAAATTGAGGTGAAAGAGGAGGTGAGGTTTTTGACTGGGCAGCTTGTTTTTGATTCCTGTATGATTTATTTTTGGATGTTTTGAATTCTGAGAGTGCAAAAATACTCCTAACCTACTCTAACAGTCTATTTGTGTTTTTAACACTGAATTTTTTTTTCCTCACATCAGAGAAAAGAGTTAAGACAATATTTAAGATAAAGATAATCCATTTGTTTGCATTATCCAAAAGACATTTGGCACCATCTGTTACCAAATGCATGAAGATATCATGGGATAAAGCATTGAGCCTTTTTTGAACTAACAAACTAAAAAATAGGAAGTGAGGAGACAGGTTAATTAGCCACATTTTTGTGGTGAAACAGCTGTGTTTCCTAGATGTGCCCAGGTGGGAATTGTTCAGTATATTTATGCATGCTCTGGAAATGAGAATTCAGTACTGAGGCAAGAGTGCTCACTGCTGATGTTAAAATATTTAGGGTAGTAAAAACTGAAGTAAACTGCAGAAATTTGCAGAAAGATCTCATTGATTATCTGAGTTATTTCATCTGGTATTTTGTTGATTAATGAAACCAAAATAATAGATGTGGGCAAGATGGGGTTTTTACTTTGAGTACTATGTGGTGGTCTTGAAATGAACTGTTAGCACCCAGAATAGATATATTAGAAGCAAGAAAGTGCCTGAAAACAATTCTTAGCAACAGTCAAAAAAGCAAGAAGAACATTAGTAATTAATAGGAGAGAGGGGAGAAAAGGAGAATATTGTGCATTTTGAATGCTGCCTGCCTTTGTGGTCATCTTTACTATCTCAGTGTAAGGCATGTGTAACATGTTTAACCTTTTCAATACTGTAATGAACATGTTACAAATATCTCTTTATTTCACAGACCAATCAGCAGTTTCTGCAAACTGTGACAGAACAAGACGTGGAACTAGAGCAGCTACGAAAACAACTGAGGTATAAACCAGGCAGATTAAAAAAAAAAAACAAAAAACCAACAATTAACATATTTTCTTTAGCTTTTCCTGACCTGCTGCTGTGTCATGGGCCTTGTTTGTACTGCAAGTTAATGTCATCCTCATAGTTACAATGGTTTCAGTACCTGTCACTGAAGTTTGTTAGACATCATTACTGTTATGGTAACATATTTCCAGTTAGTGTTGTTTGCTTCAGCTGTTCCCTGAAATAGTCAACATTCGACCTTTGCTTTAAAAGGAAAAAAACTGTATCACATCACAATTGATTCTGAAGATAGACTTTCATAGAATACAGTTTGCTCAAAAGCCAATTACATGGTTATTTATTACAGTTCTGAAATTCGAATGTTCAAACAAGCTTCCAAGTCTTAATTTTTTAATAAAATTTGCTTTTACCCTTTATCAATAAAGAGCTCTAAACCATAGGTTCTGTGGAAGTTGAAGGTAAAAGAAGTGTTAATTACATTCCTGCAGTATATCAAGGGAAAGGAGAAATAATACCTGTTACACAATTTCATGATTATTTGTGTTCACAGCTGAAGTCTATTCAATGCCAGTTAATGTGTCTCTTCTCTCTTTTAACTAGTGATGGTTGATCTAAAATTAAAATTTTATTTCATTCAACAGTGGATTTATGAACTGAGAGTAAAACAAGAAATTCAGTCATTATCAATCTCTAGTTACAGACACTGATGACATTCACCTTCCTCTCAGATCACCCTAGAGTCCTTGCACCCCTAAAAACAGTGTTTTACTCCCAGTGTCAATGGCAGCAGCTCTGTCTAGCCCTAAAAGGGGCTGCAGTGTTTCTCCAGGAAGTCTGGTGTATTTTCACCAGTTGCTTCTATAACATGAAGATGTAGTCTGCATGGATTATATAGCATATGGTGCAGACAATTCTAATCCTTTGGGATGTTTTCCACAGTTTTACATGATTTATGGTAATAGAGTACTAAGTCAGGAATGTAAAAGTAGATTTAAAAAAACGACTTGTATGTTAGAGAATTGAGGTTTAAATTATGTTTGTATGGCCTGGATAAAACACACAAATTAAGAAACTTGGCATAGCTAGGGCATGAATCTGCATCTCAGAATCTTAAAGCTTTTAAACAGAGATAACTTGCCAAGATTAGGTTAAAGATATATTTTACAGTAAAGAATAAAAGTTGTATCTTTAGAATCAATTTGTTGCCTGTAAAATGCAGACCCCTGAATCTGATCTGAATCTGAACCTGGTTGTTAAAATGCATTGTTAATGCTTAAGGTGTTCTGATTTTTATGACCATTTTTCTTCTTTTTCCCTTCTTATGCAGCCTTTTGAGTTTTTATTTTGCAGGAGGCAATTAATCATCCTCCTGAATTTATAGTACTTCTTGTAGGAGAAAGATGCAATGTTTCAGATGGACTAAGGTCAAAGTTTTGGGCCAACCCTGTGTTGAGGAATAATGTTCTTGTTGTAGTTTTTTGCATCTTAAAGAAATTGTAACCAAATCAACTTTTCCAATTAACTGGGCTGAAATAAAGTATTTGCTGTAAAATTGCTTCTATTATGTATATTTTGCTTAAGATTCTCATGTAGGTACAGTATGCTTGACTTGTATGCCATTAATTCAAAATCAGTATTTCTAGAAGAAATATTTGCTTGAAGTTGATTGTCAGAAGTATGAAATAGTTTCCAGCTTCTCTCACGACTGTTGGTGTTGCAGTTTGCATGAGCTAATCTAATACGTGTTTGCTGTGTTTTACCTTTGTGATAGAGCCAGTCATTGGTTTTTAAATTTAGCCTCATATGCAGGCTGAATAATTGGGTTACACCCCAGGTGAAGGCTCTCTGTGTCTTTCTGTTCCCAAGTCAGACAAGTGGGAGGGTTGCTTTTTTCAACAGACTTTTCTACTGAGGATGAAGAACCACCAGTCATGAACATGATTCACTAACTATTTTTTCCCCTTTTCTCCTTCAGCCCACAAAACCTATTCAGATTGCAAAGCACATAAGCTAAGTTCTTTAGAAGTGTATAATGATTGTTTTAATTCCTAGTCCTATTACTTTAAAAAGTAAAATCTAATTCTGCAAAAGACTTCTCTATTACATATCTGTGACTAAGTTATTGAATCATTGAAGTTTTTGATTTCCTAGTCCTTCTTTAATCAATGCATGCACCTTCCTTATAATCTATAAAGTAATTTCCACAGGACTTTTGGAATTTGTTATTCCTCTCTCTCTGTGCCACACAAGGAGAAGGAGGAATCCTCTTCTGCCCTGTGAAAACAGTATTGTGGAATTTTTCTGCTCTTCACAGCAATTGTGACAACATTTTAATTGAGCCATTTTTTCCCCCTCTATAATAACTGGTTTTTTTATATACAGGCAAGCCAAAATAGATGGGCAGGCAGCAAATGCTAAGCTTGAAGAAATGATGGCATTGAAAGAGAAACTTCAGAGCCAATTGGAGAGAAAGGTATCCTAGAGAAATGAATCATTTCTGTTGCAACTGTGTGGGCAGTCATTTTCTGAATGCTGACATTAAATGAACTGCAAGTTGTTACCTAGCTTGTTTTATGTGACCATATCTTTATTTTGTTCAAATCTGGATAACACTTCCATTCTTTCCAGGAAGAAGACAGGATGTCTGCTCAGGAGAGAGAAACAGCATCTGACAAACGCTTGCAGCAAATGCAGTCTAATATAAAACAGTTAGAAATAAGGTAAAGAGAGCTCACTGTGTGTTACTAACAGGATACATGCAAACCCTACCATAGAGGGGTTGTCTGTCCTTGCATGTTTTGTGGTAAACATGTTAGGAAGTAACAAAGACATGTTTTTGATGATCCCTCTGAGGTTCTCATGTCCTTTCTCATGTCTGCCAATACTGACAATCATAAACAATAAGAATTCCTGAGCTGTTGTGAAATTACCAGTGGTTTTCTTTCTCTAAAAGCTGCAACTTCATTGCCCACGTCCAATTATTCAGTTTCCTCCACAGAGGAAAACTTTATTTCTTCTGGGGCTGTTCTATTCTGGTTAAATATAGAACATTTTCAGTGATGTATCCCAGGATATCACTGGGATTCTTCTAAGGATTTTCTGAGATTACATATCTGAGTTAACTCCTATAATTCTGTTTCTTTCTAGGACTTGATTGATCATCAAACTCAAAACACTGTCCAAAAACAAGCAGAAAACAATGCCATTTGGGCAATTTATGAATATATACTTACTAATAGCTCAATTTGAATGGATCAGTGTCCTAATTGACCATCACATTGTCAAATTTCTACTGTCTCATAGATTGTGTGTGACTGTTCAAGACGCTGAACGGCTGAGAACAGAAAAAGTAGCCCTGGAGGAGCAGATCAGAGAGCTTCATACCAAGTGTGCCAGTCTAGAAAGTGAGACATACGATGCTGTTGCAAAAGTCCAAGATTGCATACAGCTCTTGGAAGAAGCTAACCTGCAAAAAAGTCAAGTAAGGCATTGGATGAAGGTGTTTCCTTGAAATGAAGATTATTAGGGTATACAAGCTAGCTTATTTTGTGTCTGTTGTGCTAAAATTAGTCATGCATAGAGAGCAAGCTGGGATGTGACCACTCACCACTCAGATTTGTCATACAGTATGAACTTCAAAGCATATGTTGTGCCTGGATAAAGGTCATCTAAGTGATAACACTGTACCTAAACAAGAATCTTCCAAAGTTTTTGACAAGAGTTCAGAGTTTCTTACCAAATACTAGTGTCAGGAAAAAAGAGGAAGGTTCTGTTACAAATTTATAACTGTTAAAGACAAGGCATAGAAAACAAGCAAAGTGCAGAGTCATCAACAAAGAAACCTAGGCATGTGGAGAGCCTTAAAAGAAACTTTTATATACAATGTGTGATTGAACTATCATAGAATAACATTTATGCCAAAACTACTCATATGAAAACATGGCTCAAAGGGCCAAAACAAAGCAGACAATTCTTAATTTACTGCTCTGGCTTAAACATCTTGAATTTTTCAAACTGAGAAGAAAATTCAATGAACATAAGAAAAAAAAATAGTGTTCTGTTAATGAACAAAATAAAAAACATGCACATTAATACACATATCTGTTAACACTTTCTGTTTCAAATTGTTTTCTCCTTGCTCTGTAGGAGATTGAGGTGGAAATTTTGCTCTGGGCTCCTGTGCTTTCTTCTGTGTAATTCCATGTTCAGCCAGAATCTCCCAGTCCCCATAGAAAAAGACATCTATTGACACTAACTCTTTGTGTGGTTCTGATTTACAGGAATGTGCATTTAGTGTCACATGTTTTCAGTGTCAGTGTTACTGAGTCTCAGTGTCAGCTACTCCAAAGTAAAAAGGAAAAGAAGGTGTCTTTTGAGAAGTGTGTGTTTTTCTCTTGGCACTCTTAGTATCACACTGACATATCAGTCATATTTCATTTTGTTATTTTTCTTCTAGGCACTCTTTGGGGAGAAACAAAAGGAAGAAGAGATCAAAAAACTGCAGGATGAAATGTCTCAACTTGCAGAAAATACTGCTGCAAGAATTAGAAAGGAAGTAAGTTATGATGTTTAGAAAGAATGGGAAGATTTTTTTGGTTTTCCTCAGAGTGAAAAGCTACTGCTGGTGTATGGTCATCACAAGCAGTTTTCTCACAAGTATTTGGATAATATAAGTGGCAAGGCAGCATGCTGATAGCACCATCCTCTTCAGCATTTGTTGTCCAGACATACGTTCTAAACAAGAAGCAAAACAGTTGGTGTCTCTGCAGACATTGGCATGGAGAAGACTGCACTGTGAAGATGTGAATGGTAGTTGTGGTGTCTTCATTTGTTTTTTTTTTTTCTCCTAAACACCCTCAGTTAAAGTATTATGGATTGATAATAATCATTCTTCTAAAATTTATGTCTTAAGAGCTGTCAGTTCTTGCAGTCCCAGGTATTTTCATGCTTTAAATATATATATTTACATATATACGACATATATATGTCAAAAAGTAAGATGGAAAAGTAGTTTGTAGTAGTTTGTGGGCCTAATTTTGTAGTTTTGTTTTGGTCACAGGTAGACACTGCAAAGAAGCAATGTAACATGCAAGTTTCTCGGCTAACAGAAGAAGTTTCAGCTCTTCAGATGGTATGGAGTGGATTGATAAAAATATTTTCAGTAGCAAAACATTCAAGACTTCTAAGACTTTAAGTTAGACTTTTGCTGATCAAATACTTCCACTAGAATTTAGTATTTTAGGTCAATCAACATGTGATTAATGAGTAATTGTGTAGGAACAGTCCTCTCTTACTGTATAGCACATTACATCCTTCCTGTCTCCAGAGATGAGTTCACAGGCATCTTGAAAGTGAGATCTGGGCTCTAGAAAATACTTCCCATGTGATGGCATTTGTTAAGTATCCCTGTTTCTTTCAGAGACACAATAAATTCAGCCTTCCATGCTTATCTGTAGTTGTGTGTGTACAAAGGAAAGCTGGTATGAAAGCTGAGAAAGTATCCTAAGAGAAAGTCTGTGGATCACAGACATCATATTTCTGAATTAACCAGGAACTTGTAATAAATTATGCAGGTGACCAAAAGAATTCTGTGCTTATGCACCTATTTATGCATTAAATTGATTTTAAAAAGGTTTCATTTGATGTGTCTTGGTCTGTATATTGAGTAATTTTGCAAAGAAAATAATGAGCAGGTAAATATAATCAAATGCATCCATGGCAGTAGCAAGAACTGCATTTACACTGGGCGGGGGGGCGGTTTGGCTTCAGCACTTCCTGAATTTTTATTTTGATTTATTAAATCTTATTTTAAAATTACTTTTATGAAAAGGAATGTGGAGAAAAACAAAGTCAAATTGAACGAGCCATTAGAGAAAAGAGAGCAGTAGAAGAAGAACTTGACAAGGTAAGGCAATTGTATATATTTTTACATTACATTTAAAATCTCTTTACAGACGGAAAAATACATAGATTTTTTTCCCCATTTTTCATGTGTTTTACCCTTAATGTCTTATTTTATTTTTGAGTAGATTTTCAAAATTGCCTATTTTCATATATTTACTTTAAGGTTGTTTGCATTCTTTTTTTTTTTTGAAATCCAGAAGGTCTTTCAAAGCTGCAGCACCAAACTGAAAAAGAAAGTTCTTTGAAAAGTGTAAAAAGTAAGAGAGATGTGTAGCTTAACCAAAAGAATGCTGATACATATTCCAGTTAAGATCAGTAGACAGAAAACAAAATAAATATCTTTGAAAGCTTTTCTCTTTTTCAAGTGGCAGCAACAATATTAGAAATACAAGTTAATTTTAAATTATGGGAAAATAGGATGCAATGAGAAGTAAACTCAGATGTAAATGTACTGTTCAGATTTACAGGGAGCATGAACCTGACAGTAGAAAGCTGGAGCAGCTGCATCAGAAGTATTTACTTGCAGAAGCTGCCAAGGATGACCTTCAGCGGAGTCTACAGATGACACAAAAGAAACTGAAACAACTGGAAATGAAGTAAGTGATGTTACAGGTGTTTACAGAAGGAGGGAAAAAAAGCAATGGTAACTATTTCAGACTATTTAAACTGTTAAATGTGTGTTGTTAGAGCTTTGTCAAATCCTTTTATTCAGTAGCAGACATAGTATCAAGATACCATAATTGTAAAACTGTCTTGGTTTGAAAAGACAGGAGTCTGTGAAGGAAGGCAAAAGCCTCCTGTGAAATGGAAAAGGTAAACCCCCTCCCTCTGAATTGCCACAATTTCAAAAAAGGTTCTCAAGCAAAGATATGGGAATGCGAATAACAGTTCTCTACTAGGAGAAAAACTAAATAAAAATAAATAATAAAAATGTAATTAGTACAAACAAAACTAGTGATGGAGTCAGAAACCTGACACCCTGAGGTGTTGGTAGTAGTCCAGTTACATGGTGGCTGTTCCTCCTGGCGTGGCAGATTAAATGCTGCTGAAGCGGTGATCTGTAGAAGGGTGTAGTTTTCTCTGAAGGTCTGGTAGTAGTTGGGCCTGGTCTTCCTCTGAGAATCCAGCAGGGAAGAGAGCTGCTTCTGTGGGAATCCAGCAAAGGGCTGCTTGGTGTCCCAAAAAGTGCTGATTTTATGCAGGTAGGGGTTCCTGGCTCCTCGCTCTGGGTGGAGCATCTCACAATGGGATGATGTAACTTTACCAGGCATGCAGTGGGTCATTCAATGGTCTGTTAACAGAAGATATCTCCCCAGAGGGAGACATTGTTCTTGGAGGAGATAAGAAAACTGCCCAACCTCCAACAGATGGCAATACATGCTTATCTTACAAGCCAGGACAGACACTAAGATTGATTTTTATCAATTCCATTATCATGATAAAGTTCTTTGCTGATTTGTGGATAGCTCCCAGTCTATATCTTTCATTCTCTGGTTCAGTAGATGTTCAGTTCTTCAGTTGCAGCCAAACTTTCCTTCTGTTTTAGCTCTGAGGAAGAGAAATCTCGTTGGCAGGAAGTTATCTGTAAATTGCAAAGCACTCTGGATTCAGAAAGAGAAAAGAGTTCCTTTGTCAGTGAACAAAGACTAAAACTTCAGCAGGAGAATGAACTATTGCAAAATGAAATGGAGGGTTTGAGAAAACTGGCAGTAGAGGCCCAAAAAAAAGCTAAAGTAAAGGTATGTTTTCGGTTTGGTTTTGTTTTTTGTTTTGGTTTTTTTTTTATACTGTAAGGCTAATATTTGCTTAGTAAGGTGGCAGTTCTCAGAAAAAAGCATAAAATGTTTAAACCAAGATTGAGAGGTTCAGTGATGCTTCCTGGTTGCTGCTTAAAAGCAGTTTTATTATTGCATTGTGTGTCCTCAGAATCCATGGGGGATCTCAGTCTCTGCTAATTAAATTGTATTTTAATGTGTATTAAATTTTCCTTGATCAGATGACCCTAAATGTTCTTTGCTTTAAATAAGATGAATAGATTAAATAATGCAAGTCCCAATCTTCATTTATTTATTGTGTCTGATGTGTCAGAAATCTTTGGCTGTCTGACTTTCTGCCCAGAATGTGCCTCTACTTGTGTGTCCACCATGTTGTCAGGGCAGTGTGTAACTAATAAATTATTTAACAGTGTGGCTGTCAGCACTGACTCTTATTTTCTGGACAGAAGAAATTGTTCTCTATGCTTAGCTGCAAACAAGAGAATTAGCTGCAAGCTGGTTTGTTCTTTTTGAACATGTTCATTAAATGCCCCTGAGCAGGCTGCAGATGGGATAAGGAATCAGTAGTAACCTCAACAGATTCAGGGCACCTGTGGCTTCTGGAGGGAGGAACAGCTTTCATCCTTGATGTGCTTTCTGAACATGCAAAGCTGGTACTTTCCCCTCTGCAGTGTAAAGATACCAAAGAAAGGGATCTGAGGATCTGGAGCAATGAAGACAACCTCAGTAAGCCAGCAGTTTTACAAGTTGTGAGTGGGGACCAGCTCAAATCTGGCTTCCACTTTGCACAAGATAAAGAAAGCTGTGAAATTGAACAGGGACTCTTGTACAAGTCCAGAACCCTTTGCTTAAACAAAGGATGAGACTCTTGTAACAGAGAGGTGGTACATATGAAGCAGAGAAAGAAAATACTAAATCTTTGTCTGTCTCGTTTTTAATCAGGCAGGCTTCCATTACAGTCACAGATAAGATTCACTGCTTGATTTCATTTCCCTCTGATGTACAAAGGATTGCAGATGCAGTTAGGAAACTCCTAACACATTTAGCTAGATGAAAAAGAACCAACTTTTTTCTGTGGAGGAAACACAAGGGAGAAGAATAAAGATTACTTACAAAAATAAGCATACACAGCTCATTATCCTTTATTGTCAGTTGTCCTATTTGCTTAAATTGGCTTTGGGAACATGTATCTCTGAGTATATAATTAGAAGCTTAATTATTGTATGTTACGCACTTTCAACAATTGTTTATAAATTTAACTCAGACGTTGTAAAACAAATGGGAAAAAAAAAAAGGCAAAGAGTGAGAGATTTGATTGTGCAGGATTTGTGGGTTTTTTTTAGATAAGCACAATGGAGCATGAGCTTGCAGTGAAAGAACATGGATATGAAGCTCGACTCAGGGAGATGGAGGACACCAGTCACAAGTCCACTACTGAGCTCAGACGTCTCTTGGTAGCTCAGCAAAAAGCAACAAACAGGTGGAAAGAAGAAACAAAAAACCTCACTGAAACTACAGAAGCCAGGATCAATAAGCTGAAGTAAGTGCGGTTTTGTTCTCCTTCTGCAAAGTGTTGTTCACATACTGTTTGGGGCATGGCAGTGGACCTGTGGTGAAAAACCATGAAGAGCAAACCATCCAGTCTCACAGATGCGCTTGCAGCAAAACAAAGAGTGATCTAAACAGAACCTGTGATGCTCTCTGTGAAGTTAGCACTGAAGTAAAGCTTCCATTGTTTCATTATCTTGTAGATAATGTGGGAGGTTTTATAATGACAAAAAGTAAATAGAATATATTACTTTTGATTTTTCTCTTTCAAGATACAGCACACTCAATTTAGACAATTTTAACTTTGGATTATGAGAACTTCTATACCTCTTCAGAAAAGCCATAACATCAGTTGTGGAGTGAATCTCCAGACTTCTAAAATAAACTGAACAAAAACCTCTTGGAATGTACATGTAATATGCTCTTCTGAGCAGTTGCTGTTATAAATGAAGATAAAAATGGGTTGTGTGATTCTCCTAAGAAAAAATACGGTAAACTTTACTTTTCTCTTAATTTATCCATATTTCTAAGCTGATGCTTGTATTTTGCAGTGTAGAATACAAGAATGTTTTCAGTTTTGCAAGTTTCCCCTATGCTTCATTTCATTTCTAGGTCCAGGAAATGCTGTCAGTTAGCTCAAGTAGGCTACTAATTTGAGATTAAATTAGCCTGGTATTTTTATTGAATGCAGAGAAGTTTATGTCCTCAACATCTCTTCTTCAAAACTGGTTAAAAATTGGAGAAGGTTGACACACTGGTCAACAATAACTGCTGATATATGAAGCCTTATTTCATAAGTCTAATTTCTTTAAAATTAAAGTAGTTAGAAAGGAATATAACATTGCATTCATTACCTTTCAGTGGGTTTGAGAACAAAAAGTCAGGTTTTGCAGCTCTGTTAACTTGATAAATTTGAAGCA